ATAATAAACAGTATTAAATAACATTTACCGGCCTGAATGTCCGAAAAATTTTCATAGAAAATATTCGTCCCCTGAGAGGAATCGAACCTGTATCCTATACGGAACCGTCATATAGCCTGACGTGCCTTTAACCGTTTTGGCCACAGAGGAGCGTTCGGTTAGCAAGGTCGATTTTGCTGTCTTTAAACTACAATCTTCCATGAATCTCTCCCGTATATTCATTTCTGCTCATGGCGTATCCAAATGTAAAGAAATGACGTCACATTTTATGAAATGTAAAAAAAAAAAAAAAAAAACGCACGACAGGCTATATGACGTTTCCTTATAGGATACAGGTTCGATTTCTGTCAGAGAACGCATATTTTCTATGACAATTTCTCGGACATACAGGCCGGTAAATGTTGTTTAATACTGTTTATTATAAACAGAGCATTTACTTAAATATTTGTATCTAATAAAAGAATGTAAAAACATAAAAATGTAAATATATATATATATATATATATATATATATATATATATATATATATATTGTTGGAGTGTTAATTTCTTAAATTTATAATAGCTAAAACAATTTTCATAAAATAATGGTCGGTTGAAATAAAAAGATTGTGCTACATGACTTGTAGATGTAGAATGGATTGATAGGAACAGCTATTTTCATTAAATTCTGCTCGGATTAAATGTTGTCGGACGACGGGACTTGGACCTGTAGAATGGATTGATAGAAGCTGAAATAGTAAATGCTAATAAAACATTTTGATCAAATTTTGGTCGTATTATAAGATGTTGCAGGCCAAGAATTGTACGCGAAGTATCGATTGATAGAGACACAAACAAATTGAATAGAGGAATAAAACATTTCCATGAAATTTCGAATTAAAAAAAGGTCGAATTGTACAAATACAGTTACAAAACCATAACTTTTCTAAGAAAAAATCTATTTTCACTTTTCAAGGGGATAGATTTTCTTTCTATAATCCTATGTCCCTCCCCACACTTATTCGCCTTCGCCATTGACAATTCGACTTCAATTAATTTGACGTGAGCCTGAACAAGTCAATCAATTTTTTTTTCTTTTACTTCAAGCTGAAGCAGATTTTGGCAATGAAAGGAACCAGATAACGATTTTTAGAATGCAAAATTTATCTCAAATGGGGCTTTTTCAAAGGTAGAAAAATATGCATGTGCCGTTTCCACTGCATTTGTGGAACTCCCACCGTACCAATCGTTTCTCTTTTTCTTACCATACGTTACTTCTACTTCCCCACCCGTCATCACTTATTAAATCAAATCTATTGTCATCGTTTGAATAAATAAATAAATATATCGACACAAAGAGAACGAGAAATAGTTACTGTTCTTTTCTCTCTGATTTGTTCCTGGCGTTGTTAATGTCATGTCATTGTTACCTGTCTTTCGTCAGTACAGTACAACATGCATGAGTGGTCGGCCGAGTAGATAAACGAATTCAGACTACCGGGAAGGGACACCTCAACACCGCCGACTCAACACCGCCGACTCAACACCGCCGACTCAACACCGCCGACTCAACACCGCCGACTTAACACCGTCGGCTGAGTGCCGAGACGACTCAAGACAGAGACAACTCACAGCCAGAAGAAAAACAACATTAACCGAATAAATGTAATTTATCAAGGATTAAATCATTAATTAGTGAATATTTTTTAAATTACTTTTTATAAAGAAAATCGTAAAAAAAAATATTTTTTATGATTTAACCGTCATCTATCTTGTCTATCCTCATCACCTGCACTTACATCTTACTCTTACATCCACGCAACAAAATCAGTCAGTAACGTTCTACATTGAGTGTCTCTCGAGCCTTGTATTAAATGAAAATTTGATAAAAAAAAAAGAAAAGATAAAAGGAAGAGGTCCGAAAGAAACAATTATTTTTCAAAGTGTCCAGGGTCCGGATCCCTATTTTTAGAAAGACGTCAGATACCGATGGAAGCTCGGATGGCCGAGTAGATAAACGAATTCAGACAACCTGGAAGGGACACATCAACACCACCGATTCAACACCACCGACTCAACACCACCGACTCAACACCACCGGCTGAACGCCGGGACGACTCAAGACCGAGACAACTCAGCACCAGAATAAAAATATCATTTTTATAGCCGAATAAAAGTAATTTATCAAGGATTAAATCATTAATTAGTGATTATTTTTAAAACTATTTTTGATAAGTAAATCGTAAAGAAATATATATATATATATATAAGGTTTAACCGTTATCTATCTTGTCTATCCTCATCACCAGCACTTAAATTTTCCTCTTACATCCACGCAACAACCTCATTCAGTAGCTTTCTACATTGAGTGGCTCTCGAGCCTTGTATTGAGTGAAAATTTGGTAAAAAAAAGAAAAGATAAAAGGAACAGGTGCGAATAAAGCAATTATTTTTCAAAGTCTCCAGGGTCCGTATATCTATTTTTACAAAGTTAACGAAGACGTCATATACCGGTGGAAGCCCGCATGGTACAACAACCAAGAACGAGGACCCAGCTTTCGGATCAATATTATTCGAAGCCTCGAATATTCCACGAAGACTTAATATTCCTCGAATCCTCATCTATCTCAGAAAGACATCGGAATATATATATATATATATATATATATATATATATATATATATATATATATATAATTATTTATTTAAAAATATGATTCCAACACGCTACATAAGAGTTCTCATGTTTCAAAACAAGAGCCGAAAACTTCAATATAATTATTAGAATTAAATTGAATTAAATTACTAATCTCTGTTCCATCTTCAAGCGAAATTTTTATGATACATACATATATATACATTGAGATTTAAATATATATATATATATATATATATATATATATATATACATATATTAGTAACTCTCCACATATTTCAACCTTGTTTTTTTAACATTTTTTTAATATACATATATATATATATATATATATATATATATATATATATATACACACAAAGATGTTCATTCTGTACAAGGCCCAAGAACCAGTCGAGGTAGAGGGTAAGAGGCACAGTCTATGGTGATATGTGAAGATAACTGTTGACCCGAGACTTGAACAGGTTAAGATTGTAGAAGTCAGGAAATTTTTACATTTTTTTTATTTACAAATATGAAACTTTTATTTTCTTTAGATTTCTACATTTTCTATTTACAAATATGATCATTTTTTTTTAATCCGAATCACCCCTTGGAAGACAGTAAAGCCACTATGACTCAAGGGGTTACAGGGTGTGGGAAAAACAGGAACAGAAACATTAATGATGAGCGGGAAGAGAAAAGAGTAATCAGGAGGACAGTAGATAGCGATTGACACGTCATTTAAATTTTTGCAGATTAAAGTTGGTTGGAAAGTATGGAGCCGGAGGAAGAGTTCCACAAGCAAGAAGTGCAAGAAAAGAAACTGTTGGCATAGAACTTACGGCTACATCTAGCCAACACAACCGTAAATTGGTGAGATCTTGACGCCAGTCTAGTTCTTGGCTTAATCTCAAAACGTTTAGATACCACAGCGAAGAACAATATTTATTTGTAAATATTTACAAAATGTGGCACAAGGCGAAAATGCGGAATCAGGAAAAGGACGGTCTTCTTCTGTCTTAACTTTACACTTAGCTAGCCACAAACATACCACAATATTCCTAACACCAAAAGAACACATTCTTACTTACCTGTCTTAATACATTCACCATAATACCTCATTGTCTCTATGAAAATCCTAACTAGTCCCCATATGTAGAATTCATTGTCTGTGAGTAGGGGGGAATCAAAGAGCTCAATGTAAATAGCAGGGGATTTAACAATATGTGAGAGCCATATTCTAAGCATGGACGAATGGTAGACTTATAGATATAAGATATTTTTATGTTTATACATTCTTTTTATAAATACAAATATTTAAATAAATATGCTGTTTTTATAATAAACAGTATTAATAACATTTACCGGCCTAAATGTCCGAGAAATTTTCATAGAAAATATTTGCCCTCCGACAGGAATGGAACCTGTATCCTATACGGAACCGTCATTTAGCTTGACGTGCATTAACCGATTCGGCCACAGAGGAGCGTTCGGTTAGCAAGGTCGAATTTACTGTCTTTAAACTTCAGTCTTCCACGATTTTCTCACGTACATTCATATCTGCTCATGGCGTATCCAAATGTAAACGAATGACGTCACACATGAAATGGACAAAGTCTGGCAATTATTTTAAAACATTTTTATGTTTATATATTCTTTTTATAGACGCAAATATTTAAGTAAATGCTCTGTTTTTATAATAAACTTATAGATATGCAAGGTAGATTCAGGAGAGAAAAATTGTCTCGCACGACACAGGGAACCAACTTTCTTAGCAGCTGACCTTGCAATGGATTCAATATAGTCTTTCCATTTGATGTCTTAGAAATATGAGTCGGTTCCAGAAAGCAGCGGTTCGCTGGATTAAGCTGCTCAGGCGGAACTTTCACCTCACCATTGGGATACGAAGGGAATAAGGATGTCACACTGCAATGTGCGTTCAATGTCGCGTCTTAAATGTGCAGGTTAGCACTGGTGGAACGATGGAATATATATCGTCTGAGTAATTTATATGGAAATAATGATAAAGCAGTGAGAATCTTTTAGTTTGCGGGGAAAGGGGTTGTAAGATGGAAAACTATACTAGAAAAAGCGAAGCTTAAGGCGCGTTATATCTGAAAAGATTTCTTTCTCAGGCTTATGATTGTTATTTTATAGGATGCGACTCTGCCTCTTCCATTTGTACAAACATAATCGTAATTGAAAATGGATTTGGACGGATTAGGTCTTCAGAGAGAACAAGGAGAATTATGGCGAATGACAAATACGGAATAGATGGACGAATTCTTTTGGTGCTAAGAAGCAAGATCTTTGTGTTTGAGTGACCACAAAGAGAAGCGAAGATTTGGATAATCTAAGCAAGTGCACCTTCAACCCACTAATGTTTAGGATTTGTGCCAAATTATTATCTACGAGAGTACGTTCATATCTATCCCAGCTGTTCTGTTCAGCATCTATCTATCTATCTATCTATCTCAGTCTTTTCATTATCTATCTATCTATCTATCTCAGTATTTTCATTATTTACCTGTCAATCTATCTACATCAGTCTTTTCGTTATCTATCTATCTATCTATCTATCTATCTATCTATCTATCTATCGAGCTATCTATTTACGTATGTTAGTCTTTTCATTATCTATTTCAGTCTTTTTCTTATCTATCTATCTATCTATCTATCTATCTATCTATCAGACTTTTCACTATCTATTTCAGTCTTTTTTTCATTATCTATTATCATCGGTCTTTTTATCTATTTCAGTCTTTTTATTATCTATCTATCTATCTATCTATCAGACTTTTCACTATCTATTTCAGTCTTTTTTATCTATCTATCTATCTATCTATCTTTTCATTATCTATTTCAGTCTTTTTTATTTATCTTTCATCTATCTATCAGACTTTTCACTATCTATTTCAGTCTTTTTGTTATCTATCTATCTATCTATCAGACTTTTCACTATCTATTTCAGTCTTTTTGTTATCTATCTATCTATCTATCTATCAGACTTTTCACTATCTATTTCAGTCTTTTTGTTATCTATCTATCTATCTATCTATCAGACTTTTCATTATCTATTTCAGTCTTTTTGTTATCTATCTATCTATCTATCAGACTTTTCACTATCTATTTCAGTCTATTTTTGTTATCTATCTATCTATATCTATTTTATCATCTCTTTTTCATTATCTATTTCAGTCTTTTTGTTATCTATCTATCAGTCTTTTCATTATCTGTCTGTAGAGCTATCTATCGAGCTATTGAGCTGTCAGTCTTTTCATTATCTATCTATCTATCTATCTATTTTACTCAGTCTTTTCATTATCTATATATCTATCTCAGTCTTTTCATTTTCTATCTGTCAATCTATCTGCGTTAGGAACCGTTTATAAATCTAACATGTTTCGCTTTTATAAAGCTTTATCAGAGGATGACATATGGAGACGAAAAAGAAAATTCTGTTTTTTCTTATTTTTGCGTTGTTCTTTTTTTTTTTTTTTTTTTTTTTTTTTTTTGTTTTTGCTGGATAAGCAGACCTCACGTGCATCCGTCTTATCAATGAGCGTTCGTATGTTAATTCCTGTGTGTATGTGTAGCAGAATCCTAGTTTGTCTATTTGGATTGGTTTGTGTGTTTGTGTCTGTGTGTGTGCGCGCGCGTCTCGTAGGCATTTCTATGCATGTGTCGATTCCTATGGTGTTTCTTTCTGTCTCTCTCTCCCTGTCTCATAGCACACACACACACACACACACACACACACACACACACACACACACATATATATATATATATATATATATATAATAACAACAATAATAATAATAATATAAATATAAGTAATTATACTCGTCTGGAAAAAACTTAGGTGCTTTGGCTTGTAAATGAACAAACCAATACCCAAGGAAAAATAAGGAATAAAAAAAGAAAGAACTAAGAACATGTAATTGAGCCGAAAATAATCGACCAGAATCCAAGCTCAGAGTCCAAAGAAAAAGCCTCCAAGACGAGTAAAGCAAAAATAACTATGTAAAGTGTTCAATACACTAAATAGAGCAAATCTAACTATGAACCTAAAGACCAGGCAAACCTCTCTAGGTTTCACCTACGCAGATGTCAGTGTGTCAGTGTGTATTGTTCAGCGTCCCTGCAGATATTTGTTTCTTATGCCTACTTGTAACTATCAATTAATTTCTCTTATTTAATAAGCTAGAGTTATCTAAATGTTTCAAAATAACCAATTTTATTAGCAACATATAATTTACATCTGTTTATAAGATTAATGTATATTTAAGCGGCTACATTTATTTTAAACAACTTCCTTGAAATATGAGGGACAAGGAAAATCTTATTATTTTTTTTATTTATTTAGGTTTTCCAGCGTTCTTAGACTTTTCCGTTTTAGCGGGAATGAGGGAACCCCAAAACTATCCACACCGCCCATTTCCCAAGCACTTTCCGTCAATTCCTTAGCCATTTTCATGGGGGTGTGTGTTGTTAATTTCTCTTCATGTATTTAGTGTTTGTTATGTAGTTTTGAATATACATCTCTGCGTGCAATCTGTGGAGTAAACCTTCAAGATAGAACATCTAACGTAGACCTCTTTAACAGGTGTAATATTGGAGGAATATTTTCTCATACAGTCTCAGTTACGGTGGACAGGGTACCCAAGATCCTAATGTACAGCCAGTTAGATCAGGGTTACAGGAATGTAGGACGCCCATGGCTAAGATACAAAGACAAGCTGAAAAGAAACTTGTCAGTTGTCAATATAACACATAACACCCTTAGACGCTTAGCCTTGGAGCTGGTAGAATAGAGATCAACGTGTTTTAGTGGACTCAGAAGTTTTCAATCTGCTTGTCTGAATCATCTTCAAGAAGCGAGAGCAAGATCTAAAAGGTCAGCCAATCTAAGAGTGATCTTATTTCATAATCCTCACGCTTGCTCCATATGTGTCCTCCTTTGTAAATCACTAGCGGGTCTTAAATGCCACTTAAGATTATCGCACAAAATTTCATAACTGAATCAATTAAGCTGTCGAGTCCTCATACGTCGAAACCGACACTAAAAGAAAACCACTAAACTAATTGAGTTTCTTTTTACCAGGCTTTCAGATAAGACGTTGAGCCATCTTGACACCATTTGTTGTAAGAATTGCCGAAAAATTCTTTTAGTTATTCAGGTAAAAAGAGAACAGGTGAAAATCGTTTTCTGTCAGTCTCACAATGTCTCCCCTACTGATCACTTTGGCGTTCAGTAATGGTACCAACATTCATACTCTGGCTTCAATCTTCAAATTCCATTGAAGAACCATCAAGACAACGGTGAATAAGTTTAAAAAAAGAGGGGACAGTAAAGAGAAAAACTGGATGAGGAGGTCACAATAGCAAGACGGATCATCATTTCAACTTCGAGCTAAAAGCATTTTTATTGTTCAAAGTAGAGCCCAATAGTGTTATATAAGCCTCGGAGAATTCCAGTAAGATATCTTTAATCATTTCTACGATGCAACGGTTAAAATGTTGAAAATTTTGCTTTTACACCCGGTATATATATATATATAAATAATGATCAAAATAAGCAGATATAATATTTATAATTTCTTCAGTACGACATGTCTAAAAGAGAATTTGGTGCCTATACACACACACACACACACACACACACACACATATATATATATATATATATATATATATAGTTAAACTCCCAGGTCAATTCTGTGGACAAGTCAAATTGGTATAAAATGACAATTGGAAAAAAAATCTTAGATGTTCCCGACGCGTTTCGTCTTCCGACTTTTTCAAGGCAAAAATGAAATCGAAATGTTTTTGTTGTTATAGTTACATTAAAAAAATCCAAATTTAAAAAGATAGACGCTTCTGTATAAGCCTTTTTTTTCTGGTTAATGTAAATTACCTTTATGTATCACATTGTTAATCAACAGATAAATAACAGCATTACTTTTCCTGTTTCTTTTCAGGTAAGTGAGAACTTTTCTGCTGAAACACAAGATCTTACTTTTTAAAGGAAATCTACAAGAACGATTTGTACGTAAGTAGATTATTTTCCACCGCTTCCATCGATGTTCCCTTCGTCTTGCTCGTTAGATTAGACAGAGTTTCGAATATTATTTTTCCGCTTTTGGTCATCAGGAGAAAAAAAAATGTTCATGGTTCAATTTGTAGAAAAGGCAGCTGGATTCGCTTCGTTTAATCTATTTTAGTCGCTTTAGAAGTAATACTAACTTGAATTTTATCTTTATGAGATGACGATTTTACCAGTCATCATATATCACAAGCTTAAAAGCCGAACTATCGAAGAGATCTTGATTGGGCCCTTGGCTTCTTCAGGAGTTTGAGGATCCCTAATTCTTTGCATATTCTCAGCATTGAAAGCTCTCCTGGCTGCCGTTTGATCAAGGTTTTTATTTCCACGGACTTTCTTTTCTTCGTTACAGCATTGGTTCTTTTGATTGCAATCTGGTCCCTCTGTTGGGGAAGATTTCTTTTTGCCAGGCACACTGCTGCCATATACGATAGGCAGCAATAAACTACAGAACTAAAAATTGATTGCTGCATTCAAGTATTGCATTAATATTTAAGCTTACCTTTTAAATGTTCAATGATAATTCTTCTGACGCCACTTAATTTAAAGATAATTTGATGTACGTAGGTCCTTACTTTCCGTACAAACAATTATTTTTATTTCATGAGTGACGCTGGATTTCGCAATTAATTCCGATTATTCCCTAAATTATTTCCAAGTTATAAAAATTGTTATTGTGCCAAAAATTCGTCGCAAAAAATTACGTAAAAAATCTCTGAAAACATTCAAAGTAAAGAAAACATGGGAATTAAAAATTACAATCAGATTTACGAGTACAGATCCGACTCGGAATGTTCTTAATTTACTCATGGAGTCTGCCTGATTCCAAAATGGTATGATATGTTGGGATACGACCTCTGGGAGTAAAGTTGAAAAAATGCGACACAGTGACACACTGACATTCGCATTTATTTATATAGATTGATTTGTATTTATTTCATTTTGAATTCAATTTGTTTAAATTATTAATTAAGACATTCAGAAAATAATGGTACATTAGTTAACACGAGAAGAATAACCAAAAACTTAGAATATAATTATCAAGTGCAGCAAAGAGACTAGATTACAGTAAAACCAGGAATAAGCTTTTTTTTTATTCTTTGCTTACTGATTCTGATTACGAGTCCAGTTCCATAGCATTTTTTCGGAATTTATAAACAGGGATCATATCATTCATATACAGGTTCGGGGTTGATGTATCTTATTTATATTGTTTGCGAAGATGTATTCTCGCCATTTAAATCATTAACCTCTATATTTGTTTTTTGTATGAATGATTCATGAATTTATATATATATATCCTGAAATATCAATTTCAGTTGAGCTCTCTGGGGACGAGGTGTGGGTTGGGAAACAGTGACTATTATAGTTATATAGCGAGACTCTTCGCAGATGCGAATTGAGTCACTGTCGGTCACTGGGCGTGTTTCTAAAAATAAATACGCTAAAATCCACTTTCATCCCTATCGTGCGCCGACGGCTTAATGGTTAGAATCTCCGACTGACACCAATTCAGTCGGATTTCGAGGCAACCGGATGTCTAGCCACACTGATGAGCTGCGAAACAGTCTGTCTGTGGATGACGTTATATATATATATATATATATATATATATATATATATATATATATATATTTGTTTCCACATTACAAGGCCTAAGAATAACTCAAGGTAGAGATTTAATGAATGAGGTTGCTTTATGGACATACGAGGAGGTAACAATTGTCCAATTGTGAGGATATATAGGATAGATAACGGATGACCCTCGTTTTGATGATTGCAATGACAGATGAAACATTCACTCGAGAGTCTATTTCACAAAGATGAGCTCCTTGGGAAGAAGCTGTCCGAATGAAACCTCTGCCTTGATGTGGCGAAAGGCTGAATGTATGAACTTGCTGACCATTACATCACGACCAGGTGCCCCTCTTCTTTACCAATGGAATACAAAGGGAATGAGAACGATTTGATCCTATCGACGTGGCATGTCGGGTCTTAGCTGTAGAGGTATGGTGGTTTTCTAAATCTAAAGTTCTGTAATGATCCAAATGTATCTTCTTTGTATGCGAATAAGGAAATTAATCAAAATTAAATGATTATCAATTAACTGATTTCATCAGCATTTTTATCAAATCTTGAGTATAGTTTTTTAACTTCTCAAAATACTTTTCTGAGATAAAATATTAGAATCCGATACCATGAAGCCATGTTGAAGGAATGGTTAACAGCTCAGATTGAGGAATTGGAGAGCCGAGTTTTAATTCCAGTTGAGTTCATTAGATTCGCTTATGTGCCAATAATCTTGGGGGAGGTATAAATATATTTCTTTTACCTCTATAGCTATGGGTAAATAGCAGGACAGACCGGATCCTATAGCCTTGTGTGGCAACCAGTCTAAGAGAAGGACAAAAGTCCAAACAATGTAAATAGTGTAAATAATTACAATAACTCATCTCAGAAATATAAATCCTGAAGAATGGCGGAGCGTACAACGACCGAAACGTTGTGAATATGACAACAAAGATGATGAAACATTTGGGGGAAGGTATGAATATATTTCTTTTTACCCCATGCCTATGGGTAAATAGCAAGAGAGACTGAGTCCTATAGCCTTGTAAATGTAAATAGTGTAAATAATTGCAATATCTCATCTCAGAAATATAGGCAGATCCTGAAGAAGGCCGGAGCGTAAAACTGACGAAACGTCGTAAGTATGGTAACAAAGATGAAGACAACTGTCCGAAAAATGTAAATAGTGTAAATAATTAGAATAACTCATCTCAGAAATATAGATCCTGAAGAAGGCCGGAGCGTACAACGGTCGTGAATATGGCAACGAAGATGAGGACAACAGTCCGAACAATGTAAATAGTGTAAATAATTACAATAACTTATCTCAGAAATATAGATTTAGAAATATAGATTTAGATGTGACACAAGGTTGAATGTATGTGACGCCCAGTGAGGATCGAACTCAGGTCTAATTCTTCTATCAGGGCAAGCTTGATAATCTTTACACCGCGTCGAACTGCCTTAGTAATGGATTGTGCAGGATGGTTCAATTCTGTGGATGTGACATGTATGATCTTAGCTGTAAAGGCATGAACTGGCAGAATTAACGAATATAGCTCGTTCGAATGTTTTTTTTTTCGTGGAAATAGCGTGGAAAGGTTTTAAAGAAAGCCACATCTTTTGTTCTTGTTCCTGTCTTTGAGAAAATAACGATCGTGTGCCGTTACTTCAAGTATTTGTCTAATTCGTTTATATTTCACTAATTCTCCATCAGCAAAAAAAAAAAACAAAGACAAAATCAACCAGATCTCACAGTGACAACAGCAAAAGCGTTCGGTTGCCCAGAAATTCCACACGTGTGCATTGTTTCAAATTTCATTTTCCTGACTTAAGCTAAAAAAGACAACTTAATTTAAAAAAAAAAACAAAAACAAAAAAACTCGTTGATATTTCATTTGAACCCACCTGACGAACTATTCGCGTAAGCAATCACTCGTAATGTCTTTTAAGCCTACAGTGTGCTTTATCGAAACTCGTATCATGCAAAATCGAATTTTCACCTTGCATTAATTCAACGACTAAGTTCGTTTTGCTAAAAAATAAAACTAAACTAAATAAATAAATAAAATAAATAAAAAATAAATGAATGAATAAATAAATAAGTAAAAAATTTTTTTAAAATTTCCTCAATTTTAACTTTATTTTAAAAGAAAAACATACTTAACATTTTCGGACTATATTTCTGAGATGAGGTATTATGTACATTATTTACATTATTATCTATCTCAGTTGGTTCAGAGCCCTCTCTATGTCTTTCTTTTTTCCTTTCTTTCTATGCTTCTTTCGATCTATCTATCTATCTATCTATCTATCTATCTATCTATCTATCTATCTATCTAGCCCAATCCTTGCATATCTATCTATCTATCTATCTATCTATCTATCTATCTATCTATCTATCTTAGTCTGTTCATAGCCATCTATTGGGTTGGTGCATAATTATCAGGCGTTTTTTAAACAATATTTATTATGAAAAAAGAAACATAACAATTCAACAATAACATTTTTAAATGATTATTCCAGACCATATGATTATCGACATGCATTTTTATAACCTGAAAATAAAATATTTTTTGTTAAAAAAAGTAAAAAAAAAAAGAGCAATTTTATGAACAAATAACTTGCCGACAAAAACGCCTGATAATTATGCACCAACCTAATATTAAGACGGCATTTGTTGGAAGATAAATTCCATCAATGCCAATTGCTTAACTCATGTGAGAAGCGAACTTTCAATATAGCCTGGCATAAGCCTAACTTCTCTATTGCGTTTAGTTTAGATAGGAAGAATTAACAAAAAGAAAACTATGTTTATCAGTTTTTGGAAGTATATTAGGTTGGTGCATAATTACCAGGCGTTTTTAAATAATATTTATTATCAAAAAGGATATATACTAATTCAACAATAATGTTTTAAATGATGACTCCGTAGCGTATGATTATCGACACGCATTTTTATAACCTGAAAATAAAATATTTTTTATCAAAAAAAGTAAACAAAACAGCAATTCTTATTAACAAATAACTCCCTTACAAAAACGCCTGATCATTATGCACCAAAACAATATGTGTTTTTTAATTATTAGTAGCAGTAGTAGTAGTAGTAGTAGTAGTATCAGAAGTAGTAGTACTATTATTATTAGTAGTAGTAGCAGTGGTATTTAGCGTTATTATTGATTTAAAAAGAACACTCTTGCATGCGACAATAGGGTTTACCACATCAATATAAAACCGAGATCTTTTTTGATGTGCCGGTCCCTTTATGATGTAGGCGATCACAGATCTCCACTTCCTCTTATTCCTTATAGCTCTCAATAAGTTTTGTCCCTTGCTACTTTCTCCCAGACCAAGTTCTATGATCCATTTGCTTAAGCCCGCCAGATATGTCATGCATTGCCTTTTCTTGTCTCTCTTTCCCTCTGAGTATCAGATTTTCCCAGCCCTCCTTTCTCGTTTCGTGTCCCACAAATTACTGCTGCCTCTTCCTGATGTTAAGTATAAGCTTCCTCCTTGTTTGCATCCTCTCCAAAACCTTATCGTTGCTCACACGCTCGGTCCATGATATCCTTAGCATCCTTCTGTAGAACCATACCTCCGTTGCCTTGAGTCTCTTTTTATTCTTTGAGGAGACCGTCCAACATTCGCTGCCATAAAGGAGGATAGATGTCACGTAGCAGTTCAGTATTTTTTCCTTTGTTACCAAAGAAATTCTCCTGTCTCGTAATACTCTGCCTAGCTTTTGGAATGAGTCTTTGGCCATCCCAATACGTCTTCGGATCTCAGTTGTCTCGAGTCTCTTCTTCATCTTGGAGGAGACCGTCCAACATTCGCTGCCGTAAAGAAGGACAGATGTCACGTAACAGCTCAGTACTCTTTTTTTTGTTACCAAAGAAATCCTCTCCTCGTAATACTCTGCCCAGTTTTTGGAATGAGTCTTTGGCCATTCCAATACGTCTTCGGATCTCAGTTGCCTCGAGTCACGTCTTCATCTTTGAGGAGACCATTCAACATTCACAGCCGTAAAGGACGACAGATATCACATAGCAGTTCAGTACTCTTTTCTTTGTTACCAAAGAAATCCTCCTGTCTCGTAATACTCTGCCTAGCTTTTGAAATGAGTCTTTTACCATTCTCATGCCAAAAATGACGAATACTTTTGCAAAACATTTTCACAGTACAGGTAAGCTACTTCATTCCTTTGAGCCCTGCATTCCTGGACAATTCTAACCCTTCTGTTTGAGCTCCTGAGTCAAAATTCTCTTTTGCCGTCACACGGAGGACCAATACCTTTATGGCAGTTCATTAGTCTGGCTTCTGTGTATGATGCATAAGATACACAGATGATGTTGTATTGATAGCAAACCCAGAACAAAAATCAAAAACTCTAAAGATAGTTAAGGAAAATAACGGAACTGCAAGATGAAAGAATTTGTGATTATCAGTAAAAAAAAAAAAAAAAAAAAAAAAAAAACAGCCCAAGATGCAGGCAACGTATTGAAGACCTCGAAATCAAGTAGATGCAAAAATGAAACTATTTGTCTAGTGTCGTAACAAATGGCGCCAAGTTTAACACAGAAATCACAAGCCGCATCGGGATATTGAAACTAAGCGAAGTATTAACCTTTTAAACCCAGCGTTCCTGAACGATCTTATCCCTTCTGCCTGAGCTCTTGTGTTAAAATTCGCAAATAATTGGTTATGTAATGTTTCACGGTAGATTTAAAAGTAGTTACAAAAAATGTAAGCATTATCTTTAACAGGGAGAGAGTATGATTTCATGCCTTCACTTTATCACCAGAATTCTTTCTTTTTTTTTTTTTGACATAATTTAGAAGAGTGTTTTGGATCGTTATATTCTTGAAAGGTGAATTCTTATCCAATTATCCGTAAACCAGACGGCGTAGAATGTCTTTGCAAAATCAAATGATTTTGTTCTTTTTCTCATGATTCCATTGACCTGCATAAAATCTCCAGCACTTTTGGTAATCTCAAATTGTCTAATAGTTACAAAATATATAAGCATTATTCTTAGCAGAGAGAGAGTATGATTTCATGCCTTCAGATTACCACCAAAATTCTTTCTTTCTTTTGACATAATTTAGAAGAGTGTTTTGGATCGTTGTATTTTTGAAAGGTGAATTCTTATCCAATTATCCGTAAACCAGATGGCGTAGAATGTCTTTGCAAAATTGAATGATATTGTTCTATTTCTCATAATTCTATCGACTTGAATAAAATCTCCAGCACTTTTGGTAATCTCAAATTGTCTAATAGTTACAATATATATAAGCATTATACTTATCAGGGACAGTGTATGATTTCATGCCTTCACTTTATCACCAGAATTCTTTCTTTATTTTGACATAATTTAGAAGAGTGTTTTGTATCGTTATATTCTTGAAAGGTTAATTCTTATCCAATTATCCGTAAACCAGAAGTCATAGAATGTCTTTGCAAAATCAAATGATATTGTTCTTTTTCCCATGATTCCATCGACATGAATAAAATCTCCAGCCCTTTTGGCAATTTCAAATTATTTAATGAAGGGTTAATTGCGTAAACAAAATATAATGTTTCTTATATAAACTATTCATAATTTAGTAAAATTGTGGCCAGACGAATCCAAATCTGAAATTTTGGGTTGTAAGAGGAGCCTTGGGGAAGACTGAAAAATAAAAGCAACTGCGCTGTAGATATTGAATTTTTATCTTTTAATTTAAAAAAATACAAAAATATCTCCTATTAACCCTTTGGGCTCAGCGTTCCTGAACAATTTTAACCCTTGTGCCTGAGCTTCTGGGTCAAAATTCTTAAATAATTGATATGTAATGTTTCACTATAAAAATAGTTACAAGCGTTCATCCACCGTTCAACCGGTGACTGGGCATTATGTCATTTTTTTTTTACCACCGGTAAAGCGGTGGTCAACGCCCAAAGTCTTAAGAAATATGCTGTAGTCACAGTAAAGAACTTCCTCGGTTTTCTAGATATAAAGAGAATTAAAAAGGAACAGACGAGAGGGATTAAGATCTGGGGCCTAGAAGACGTTGTTTTAATATCTGTTCCGTGCTTGGGTCTCTCCTCGCCCGCCTTTTCCCCGTTGCCTGGACAGAATCTTCGGATCTGTTCCATAGAGTGGTAATTGGTTGCCTATGACTAGCTAAGATCAGACAAGAGCAATGGCCCGGGTGCCTACACTCGGGTTCCCCACATTAAAATAAACTCACTTTCAGTATGTGTCTATATTCCTGAGATGAGGTATTATGTATGCTATTTATATTATTCGGATTATTATCCTCATCTTTGTTGCCATATTTATTACAACGTTTCGGCCGATGTACGCTCCGACCTCCTTCAGGTGGTTGGAATGTAGAACTGAACCCTTTATTTCGCTCACTGGCGTAGACTGTTCTAGTTCCACGTGCTATGTCTAATGGAACTCAGTTATCAGTTATCTCCTGTTAATTCCCCTCTCCAAGTTCTCCACCGCCTTAACCAGGTATTGAACTCACAACTGTTTGTGTCCTGTCACTGTGCCACGAGTCCGAACATTCTTGGACATAATAATATTGATAAAAAATGTCCTTTCCTGTTTTGTCAGCATGTTTGACGGGGAAGAGAGAGTGGGTGAGAACTTGGGTAAACCGTTCTCCTACAACCACTTTATCCACCCAAGCAGTGGGAAAAGTAGAAAGCTGTTGCAACCATTGTCAACCTTGACAAAGTCCAATCAACGGGTACGTAAATATATGAACTTAATCTTTGCTTTCTAAAGATTTTATCAATTTTTTTTCTTTTTTTTTTTTGCAATATTCTGTGGTTGTTGAAGACCTTATTTGTTTAATCCGTAGTTTTTACGTGTTCTAAATTTTTTTTTTTTTGTTTACTTTTCGGTCAAAAAACCTACGCTCTTAGCTGATTACTATTCTTATCTTTCCCGCGCGAAAATGTCCAAATTGGCTGCTTACCAAGTCGGGTGTTTGTAAAATGAATCTGCGCCTTTCGGATGAGTGAACAGTCCTTTTATCTCAACTTGCGTGCGGAGTGTTTTAAAAGCTTAACCTCTGACCCGATTCCAGTTTACTGATAATCTTCAATTTTGATCAGGGCCTTGGTGTCGGCTGTGTTGATCAGACCAATTCCATCACTTCTGGTTTTCCTCGATTCGTCTTCGGTCTCTTCCTAAATTGAAAATACACGAGGTTGTTGGCAAAGAAAGATTGACTTTTTCAAGCAATGGAAACGAACGGAAATCTATGATAAACGAAGTGCTATTAATTTGTTCTGTAGAAAAAACCATTTCTGGGACGACCAGTTATTATTTTTTCTATTTTTTTTTTTTTTTACATTCGGACTATTGGCCTTGTCTTTGTTATTATAGAAACGTTTCGGTCGCTGTGCACGGTCTTCTTCAGGCGTCAGCCGACCCGAATAACCATTAAAAGATATCGAAGAGAACCCTTTATTAAATCTACGTGAGCAGATTGCCCAAGTTTCGGAATATCTTGTTTTCTTCTTATTTCCTATTGCTCATTAAGAACTCTCTCTCTCTCTGTTGCCCCACTGTTTGAGTCTGTATGGCAGGGACTCAAGGAGTGAACCCACAATGACAATGCCACCAGGAATTAATTGAAGAATTAATGACAGATGTGGCTATTATAAGTCTTTTATAAGACATGGCAATTATAATTATATTATACGATATGGTAATTCTAAATATGTTATCAGATATGGAAATAACAAGTATAAGATATGACTATTATAAATATATTATAAAACATTTCTATTATAAATATGTTAAAAGATAGGATTATTATAAGAAAGTTATAAGATAGAACTACTATAAATATATTATTAGATATGACTATTATAAATATGTTAAAAGATAGGACTAATGTAAGTATGTTATAAGATAGAACTATTAAAATATGTTATAAGATATGACTTTTATAAATATGTTAAAAGTTGGGACTATTATAAGAAAGTTATAAGATATGACTATTATAAATATATTATAAGATATGACTGTTATAAATATGCTAAAAGATAGGAAAATTATAAGTTATAAGATAAGACTTTTATAAATATGTTATAAGACATGACTATTATAAATATATTATAAGACATGACAGTTATAAATATATTATGAGATATAACTATTATAAATGTATTATGAGATATGACTGTTATAAATATATTAAAATATAGGACTTATTATAAGTTATAAGATAAGACTATTATAAATATGTTAGAAGATATGACTATTATAATTATAAGATATGACTGTTATAAATATATTATAAGATATGACTTATAAATATGTTAAAAGATAGGACTATTATAATTTTATAAGATAAGACTATTTTACATATGTTATAAGATATGACTGTTACAAATATATTATAAGATATGACTATTATAAATATATTATAAGATATGACTATTATAAGAATGTTATAAGATATGACTGTTATAAATATATTATAATATATGACTATTATAAATATGATAAAAGATAGGACTATTATAAGAAAGTTATAAAGATGGGACTATTATAAATATATTATAAGATATGACTATTAAAAATATATTACAAAATATGACTGTTATCAATATGTTAAAAGGTAGGACTATTAAAATATCTTATAAGATATGACTATTATAAATATATTAAAAGATAGGAGTATTATAAGAAAGTTATAAGACTATTATAAATATGTTATAAGATATGACTATTATAAATATTCTAATGTGTGGGGTGGTTGGTCAATATACTGCAGTTGGAGATTCGTCTTGTGTTCCTGGCCTTTTGTTTGAAGAAGGTGAACACCTTCAAGTGACATGTGTTATTTATTTTAGTTATTGCCACTGTTGAATCTCCCCATGTGATGGGGTGTCTGCTATTTGGTACAGCTCGTTGTTTGTGATTCTGTAGCGCCAGTTCACGGGGTTTGAAAAAGGATAATCCTAGGTAAGACTTACAGGCTTCATTCGCTCGAAACTATTTTTTACACATTATCTAAGCTGTGGTATAAAGCTCACAGTTTAGATATTCCTGAACGGGTTTTGCGCCACGTATGCAATCTATATAAAAATCACGATCTGACGAGGCTATTTAAAAACATGACTTCTGTTTTGTGGATATTGGTCCTGTAGCAACTTGTGGTTTTGTGCGAAACTATCTGTAGCGCAGCCTTTTATATATACAACGTCCTTATGCCCTAATTAACTGTTTCCTTATAAGGAAATATTTGGGATTCACTGACCGAGCAGGCAGTGCTCCATTCGATTAAAATTTATAAAATATTTCTCTTCAAAAAATATTTCATGAAAAAAGGTTTCTCAAGTCTAGTAGCTTTTATCGTTCTTTCCAGTATTGATGGGAGTTTCCTTCCTAACCTTTTGCTTGAAGTCGTGTGGAATGTCAACATCTTGATTACGTCATTATTTTCTCTTTGAGTTACATATGATATCTATTTAGTGGTTGTTGTTGACATTCTTCTCTTATTTGGCACAGTTGTTTGGGTATATGTAGCGCCAAAGTAATTTTTAAACATTGCTCTATTTATATATCAAGGGATTGTCATTGGTCATGAATTAACGTAAGAATAGGTTTATTTATATGTACAGCTGGCCAGTCTTGTTCGAGCATACCCGGCTATCAATCCCTCGGCCACGATGACTTGTAACTTCGTGCTAGCACAGCTATCGACGGCCCCCAAGGGTTCCGTCTACCCAATTTCACTCACAAGGCTTGGGTCAACCCGTGGATTAGTTTTCAGGCACTTTTTGCACGCTCGGATCAACCCCTCAAGTCCGATAACATCAGGAAGTCTCCATCCTGACAAATGGTGAGATTCGAACGCTCTAACCACTCGGCTACGTGTCCAAGATAGGTAGATAATGAATAGACTGAGATAGATAGATAGATAGATAGATAGATATAAAAAGAATGTATAAACAGAAAATGTCTTAAAATCATTGTCGGACTTTGTCCATTTCATAATGTGTGACGTCATAATTTGGATACCCATCGAGTAGATATGAACGTACGTGAGAGAATCATGGAAGATTATAGTTTAAAGACAGTAAAATCAACCTTGCTCGGTTAGCAAGGTTAATTTTACATTCTTCTGTGGCCAAAATCGATTAAAAGGCACGTCAGGCTAAATGACGGTTCCGTATAGGATACAGGTTCGATTCTTGTCGGAGGACGAATATTTTCTATGAAAATTTTTCGGACACTCAGGCCGCTAAATGTTGTTTAATACTGTTTATTATAAACAAAGCATTTACTTAAATATTTGTATCTATAAAAAAGAATGGACAACCATATAAATGTCATAAAATAGATAGATAGATGGATAGATGATGAAATTAGATAGATAGATAGATAGATAGATAATGAAATTAGATAGATAGATAATGAAAAGACTAAGATAGATAGATAGATAATGAAATGATTGAGGTAGATAGATTAAAAATAGACTGAGATAGATAGATAGATAGATAGATAGATAGATTAACAGAATGATAGACGAAAGAAGTATATATATATATATATATATATATATATATATATATATATATATATATATATATTAAAGTGAACATAGAAGTCAACACTTAGAGGCGACAGTCTGTTTCATGCTATATGCAATCGTCAGGCCATGTTTTTATATATATATATATATATATATATATATATAGGGGAGAGAGAGAGAGAAGAAGAAGAAGAAGAAGAAAAGAATGGGTTCCCGTAAGACAGAAGATAGCGGTTGGCGTCCGACTTAGATTTTTGAATATTGTTGGAAATCAAAAAATCGGAAGGGAGTTCTAACGACCAGAATTTCGAGTGAAGAAACTATTAGAATAGAACTTACGGTTGCATCTAGCTAATTCAACACAATGGGACCTGCTTGCTAATGTAGTGGTTCGCTCATATTCAAGGAGGAAAGCTCATCAGAAGCTTTGTCATGAAAATATTTATAGAAAAGACAGAGGGAAGACACGTCGAGATGCTAGGTCAAGACTTATAGCATTGCAGAGCATGCATTGATTTTTTTAAAGAACTTCAAGATATAAAGCAGAAACACCAGATATCTCAGCAGTATTCATACGTTGAAACACTAAAGTTAAGCAACCTCGAACCTGGTCAGTACTTAGATGAGTGACCGTTTGGGAATACCAAATCCTGTAAGATTGGGTGTGCGGGTGGTGTAATGGATAAAGGTTCGGAAATGTTAATCGCCGAGTCGAGTTTTTATTCCAGGAGGGTTCGTTATATTCACTTTTTGGTTCACTAATGCTGCCGCCTGGTATTGAACTCACAACTCCTTGGGTCTAGTCAATGGATCTAACCAACGTCATTATCCACTGTGTGATATGTCCTTGAGGAAACATTGTGAATATGGCAATGAAGATGAGGACAACAATACGAATAATATAAATAATGCAAGTAATCATGATGCATCATCCCAGAGATATAGAGGCCCAAACGGTGTGAATATGGCAATGAAGATGAGGATAACAGTCCGAATAATGTAAATAATGCAAGTAATCATAATACTTCATCTCAGAGATATAGAGGCCGAAACGTTGTGAATATGGCAATGAAGATGAGGATAACAGTCTGAATAATGTAAATAGTGCAAGTAATCATAACACCTCATCTCAGAGATATAGAGGCCGAAACGTTGTGAATATGGCAATGAAGATGAGGATAACAGTCTGAATAATGTAAATAGTGCAAGTAATCATAACACCTCATCTCAGAGATATAGAGGCCGAAACGTTGTAAATATGGCAGTGAAGATGAGGATAACAGTCTGAATAATAGAAACTATGCGAGTAATCTTAATACCTCATCTCGGAGATATAGACAGAAACAGGGACTTATTCAACTTTTAATCTTGCTGCAAACTCACGTGTTTTTTTCTGTTATAAGTAATTTCATATCATTTTTATTCCATTTTTTTAAACTGAAACATTATGGACCTTTCCATTGTAGAACTATTAAGTTACAACAAAGTGTGGAAAATACATAATTTCCGTCCCAATCCGTAAATTGCATTAAACTTTGTATCCCTGAAGAACCATTTTGACATAAACAACTTCTTGATCGATCTGATCACGGAAGGTAATGCGAATGATTTGGCCTTGTCAAAATATTTAACACGTCCACAAAACAAAAATAAAA